CGTTATATTCTAAGAATGATCTCCTCCAGTTCTGTTTTAGAATTCTAAGTCGCATTCTACCTTCATCCTTGGATTGACATCTTTTTAGGGAATGTGTAACTCTTTGTGCTATTTCACGTGAGCTCATTTTGAGTTGTATAACTTGTTATCCTGATGCAGTGGGAGTTAATTGCTTGTCATTCTGTCAACAAGTGCTCCATGACATATATTCAAGAACACTTTGTGCTGTTTTTGGAGCTTGGTGATTGATTTCATATCTTTCTGTGGGACAGCCCTTTCATTTTAAAGAATAAACTGAGAGCTTCTTGACACTATGGTAGCCTTTTTACTGAAACCTCTTTGGGCAGTATTGGGCTGAAGTGCTCATTAACCATGCAACTCTTCATAAAAACCAATTGATGAAGAAAAAAGAGAGTAAATTTGTTCAATGCGTGTTTCCTCTTACAATTGCAGAGTCTATTTTTTGTTTATTGGCTATTTCCTTTTAGTGGATTCACTTTATTTGGGCGTATACTGAGACAATCAAGTTGATCCGAGTTGCTTTCTTCTCTTGATGTTAACCTAGAATGTTTTTCTATTTGAGAAAAACCGAACTTAAGATTTTCTTCCACGTGATGAGTTGGGAAAACCTGTATATTTGGCCTCAGTTATCCTAGAATTTTAAAGGTTTAAATTCTTATGTTCTTGTATAACAATGAGCTTGTTTATTGTGATGATTTCTCTGAGGCAAAAGTCTAAAGTTACTTTCAGCAGCTTGTGGATGAGATTCATTTATTCTTCCAAAATATGCTATGCTCTTACTACCTTCAATAATATAAGACACTTCTTTAACTGACAAAGGCTTGTAACTCATGCGTCTGTTTTGCTCATTGTATTGCTTGCGGTCCAGGTCATGGAAGAAGTGTGGCAGTTGCGTGTGCATTATTGGTAGCTCTTGGCGTTGCAGAGGATTGGAAAAATGCTGAGAAGTTAATTAAAGAAAGACGACCTTATATCCGAATGAATGCTCTACATCGCAAAGCGTTGGAAGAATGGTCTAGGTTTCGGCTGTCTTCACCTAAGAGAAATGATGAAATTGGTTTGGGATCTGTGATTCTGTCCAGTCCTTCAGAACGCTCTTGAATTGGATGTCAAGACCAAGAAAGTACACTTATTTTCTGGATTATAGATGGCACGTAACAGAATACTTGTTTGAAACGCTATTGACAGTAATCCTCTCCTTTCTAGGTTAAATCTTGTTATCCTTAAATTATGAGATAAAGTCTGATGCTAATGTTTGATCATTTGTGTCCTACGCTTGAGATAACTAGTTTGTGAGCCTTAAAAGGAAACAAATGCTGATCATATTTGTACTGGTGCAACTCCTTTCTTGAACAAAGGACAGTGCATTGGCTTCTTTATTTTCATCCTGTGTTTCTTCTCTTTCTGATTGTTGTTTTGTTTTATTTTGTAAAGAAGGTATAGCTGTAGGTTGAGTATAAAAGCTGGTAATGTAAGCTATTAGCAATAGTCACAGAGCACATTAATTCAGCAAAAGCAGAAATATCTGAAGTCAAGTTTTCCTCCGGTTATCTTTAGGATGTACACTCTGCAATGCCTGGTGATCATCAGATGTCACACTGTGCTAAATGTCAATTTAACTTCGCTAAACAATTCTGACATCCAATAACTGTGTTTACTCAGGTGAAGTCTAGACTCCTGTATGGGGCACTAATAAAGGCGATTGTATGGCTCAAACCCATGTATGGTAACATTCCTCTTGTCTGCACGTGTGTATTCATCATAGCTTTGAAATTCAGCAGAAACTTTGCTCGCAAAGGGTCCTGGAAACTCATTGCAAGAGGTCAAAATTCCGCAACTAGATAATTTGACGTATTGGTCTTGATATGGTGGTAATACCATGAAATCTGTTAGAATTCAAGGTCTGGACTTGCAGTTCTTGGAAGAGTTTCGAAACACCATGGAAATGTATCCTATTTGTTTTCTCCTCCAATGGAATTTAGGAGTAGAAACTGGCCAAATGACTTCTGTCATAACTTGTAAGCAGTAAACAATGATACAAGGCCGCACAGAAAGTCCCTGCCATTCATTGTATCGCTTGACATCAAAAAAATATACCCTCAAGGACCAAACAATCTCCCTAACAAAATTTCTAACTTTCAGATTAAAAAAAGCGCTTTACATTGGCTATGAACCGAAAAAAGGAAAACAGGATGAAAGCAGTGGCGTCCGTGTCACATTTACATGGGAGTCAAGGCATTAAAAACTAAACAACACAAATATCTATTTGAACCCGAAGAAGTTATACAAAGCTAAACATGGTGAGGCAACAAAACTCTCATCACATGAGCTGATCATTTTAAGGAGATCAGATTCTACACATGTTACAAGCAAATCATGGAATAGTCTTCCATAGTTTGTTGCACAAATGCAAAAGTCGAAAAACAACCCAAGAAACTTATTGGCAAAAGCTGTACATAACCAAGGGTACAGTATATACATGACTCCAGCCAATGGATCATTATTTTACAGTGGAAGACTACCAACAAAATTTTGAAGGACAGTTATTCAAGTCAGTGCTCTGTTTCTTTATAGGCATAATTTCCTCTTCATTTATTGCTGCCAATAAATTTTGCAATGCCTAATGGATTTCTGGATACATGCATTCAGGGAATTCATTCTGATTTTTATGTCCCTGAACTAACACCTCTTTTGGTGGCTTCTTCCCTGCTCATGGTCATGAATGATTCTCCACAGCCACACTGCCCTTTAGAATTTGGATTGATAAATATGAACTCTGACCTGATCATACCAAACAAAGATGTTTGAGATTTTAGCAGGCAGCACAAAAAGGTTAACTGTTCCACTATACATGAGGAAATGAGAAATAACATCACCCTGCCATGGAACAAAGTTAACTCCAAGGCTAACCTCTAAATCATAGTCATATTTTCTGAAGTTGAAGTGGTTCAAAGGAAGATAACATCACATTTCAAGAAACAACGCTACAATGAAAAGTATAGAGCAAAATTTGTGTTATACCTGCAGAGATGCTTCTGAAATTGAGTTAAGCGTTAATAGAAAGGAATTTCATACCTCAGTTTGTCATCTACAAAGTCCATCTTGGTTCCTATGACATGCATGAGGGCCTTCGGATCAACCAATATCTTAATACCCTTGTCCTCAACCAACTCATCAAACTTCCCTTTTTCATCTGTACATTTAAGAAATTTGTGCATCAGGCAAAGAACTATCAACCAAATTATGGAAACAAAACAAAGGGAATGCCCATTGTCTTCTGGTTACATTGAATCCTACAACATCATTTATTATCTCCAACAGTTATTGCAGTGCACCAACTCTCATCGGGTGGGATCCCCGCAACACAGGCAAACCAATGAAAGAACAAAAAGTACATGGATAAACAGAAGTCCAGCAATGTCGTTGAACAATCTTTTCTTGTTCCTTTTGTTTTTGTTTCCAAATTTTGTACAGGGGAATGGCAGTAAAGAAGAACAGGGAAAGTGGTGGGAAATTGGAAAGCGTGAGAAACGAACTCTTGTATGATGAGGACAAAAAACCCTTAACCATCCAAGTTTCTATTCAGATTATGTTTCCAAGCACTCACCTTAAGTTCATCAAATGCACGGAACAATAATATAATTAATATCTATCAAATAACCTAGGTTTGGCTAGGATTAAAATTTTCAAGATACGGGCAATTCGAAAATGTCACCAGCCTGAAGAATCAACAAAAGAACCATCTTCTGGATTTAATCGCCGTAAAATAAATTAACCAATAAAAATCTTCATATTCCAACCTTTTAGTTAACGTTTTCACTAAAAGGGCAAAGGATTGAACCAGGCCAAGTAGAACCCACTAGCAGAAATCCCTCTTGTTGTAAGCTTCAAACAAGAAATATTGATAGAAAAAAAAAAGACCTTAACCTATCCATTCAAGTCTACCCGGCATAAAGGGAAAAAAGTTTTTGTTCTAAATCTACGACAGATGAAGCCAGAACAAATAACTCTACCAGAGATATTGGGAGGAAATTTAACAAACTTATCTTAATTGAAGCAAAATTAGATGCGGCAATTGAAAAAAAAAATTATCTAATAAAGAAGTGAAGAGGGGCGGGGAGAGGGGGATTGACTTTGAGAAATGGAACCTGCATAATTAAGGGTGTAAGATAAGCCGTTGCATCCGCGAGCTTTGACGCCGAGCTTGAGAAATGAGCGCTGCCGCTGTTCCAACAGCTGCCGTATTCTGGAAGCGGCGGTTTCGGTTAAGGTGAGAACTTGCTTTCTGAGGGCCGACGCCGGACCCATCTTCTCCACACCCCTCTCTTCAACGTCCAACAATTTCGACACGACACGATACGATTGAGAGCAACAATAATAATAATAAAGCTACCTCTGCAGTCTCCCTATATTCCCCCCTCTGTCCCTCTCCTTCTCTGGATAATCGGATACAAACATCCCTCTATCCATTGACCCGGTAAACTCTGGCATTGGGCCACAAATGTATACTGACAACTTATCTGGGCCTTTCAATTAGGCTGTGTTACCCCATTGGGCCTGCACGAGCAGCGATCTCTCATCCTCAACATGATGGTTTTCCTCAAGTAAATGTGTTTAAGGCCTCAATGGTCAGAGAACGGCTAGAAATTTGAATAGATCGATATTTAAAGATTCAATAATATAAATTATATCGTATCACTTGATAAAATATCAAATGGTGTGACACAATTTGAGTCAATAGATTTTTGACAATCAAGTTCAATTTTTTTTGCTAGGGAAGTATAGAATGAACTAAAGCTCGTGAAGATTCTAGGGAAATCTCTTACTTTATCCTATTCTCCGGATTTTCGAAAATAATAATACTGCCTGCCAAGTTATATTTAGACAGAGAGAGAGAGAGAGGGGGGGGGGGGGGGGGTTGGATTAGGAGCCTCAGATACATGTTTTTTTTCTTTACAATACGTTAATATGACCTCCTCAGTGCCGATGAACGACACAGGTGATGGACACCTGTGGTCGGGGGACCTAGCAATACCATTAACCCCACTTGGATCACACTTGATCTCGACTCCATCTTTTGTTCCTTTCTCCATCCATCATTTTCTAGTAGCAGCGTAGCGCCATATAACTTCATCGTCATTGCTCTCTCTTTTACAGGAAACTGGTAAGCGCAATCGGTCACTCGTTTATAAAAAGATTATCAGAGTTTTGTTTTGGAGCAGTAGAATTAAATGGATTTTCTGGAATTCTAGATATCAAGCATCGCAACCTCTTGCTTCCTCCTAGTAGTAGCTACGAAGCTGCAGGTCTTTTATCTTTTTTTTTTCTCCGCCGGTAAGAAAGGTCCCTTTCCTTCTTTTGTTATTTTCTTTCCCGTAATTGATCTTGTTTTTATTCTAATTTTTAACATGATTGCTAAGCCTCTATCCTGGGCTACTCTTTCAATCGCTGATCTAGAGTGTTTTCTTATTTTAAGTTGGCGCTACTTCATTATTATTCTTTGTATGTGATATATGGAACATGAATTCCTGAAACATGGTGGATGTAATTTCACCATTTTTTGCAATAATCGAGTTGATTGAGAATTAGAGTCGGTTAAGTTGAAGATGAAGACCTGCATCCCGTTTTGTGCTTGTGTTGGCCACTGACAAATTTATTCTCCCAGTTCTAGGAGCCCACTGGCGGCATCAGTTTTCTTCATCCTGATCGATACGAACTGAGTGAAATTTAGCATCTTTATTCAAACTTATCTGCTCTGCGCCCCATGAACAGGATCTGCAGAGGCTTTACGTTGTCGGATCCTTCCTTGTTTGTTGGTTACAGAGCTAGGGTTCAATCAAGTCTGAAAATGTCGGCTGTAAATATTCCTTCATCTTGCTTGCCGAGAGCTTCACCCAGTGTGCAATCCCGTGCCTCGAGTAATCAGGGATTATGCTCTCTGGTCTTTCTGAATAATAATGAAGTTTCCAGAGCGTTGGGTATGAAGCCGTCCTCCACCTTCAGAAACACCTCAACGGCTGCATACAAAGTGAAACTGATAACCCCGAGCGGCGAAGAGAATGAGGTTGAAGTTGGCGATGATGAGTACATCCTGGACGCAGGGGAAGGTGCAGGAATGGAGCTGCCATATTCTTGCAGAGCCGGTTCCTGTGCTACCTGTGTGGGGCAAATTGTTTCAGGATCAGTAGACCAATCAGAGGGGTCATTCTTGGATGATACTCAAATTGAGAAGGGATATGTTCTTACGTGTATTGCCCGCCCTACTTCTGATTGTGTGATTTACACACACAAGGAGGAAGATCTCCATAGATGATAGAACATCAACATTTAAAGTGGCAGTCGTGGTTAGTCGTGGAGATTGGTAGTTTTCTACAGTTGCCTTGATGAGTAAAACTTGGCTCAGAATTTTCCAAGAATATGTTACCAATTATTGCTTTTTATTTATACACTGTGAGTGTATATATTATTACGATTGGGGACTGCTGCTGATTATTTTCGCTTGATTGTAAGCGCATCGGAATAGTCTTAATTTATTTTGTTCTAACCATGATTTTATTTAGATTTTGGAGTTGGCAAATGGACGGGCTGGGTGGATTTCACCGGGGTTTGAAAGATTGGGTAGAAGCCTGTTCAACTCCATCCTTTTCGTGGGTTACTATTGGCAGGGAACTAATAGATTTTGGTGTCATGGACTCTGTGGTTGCCCAACTAAAAATGTTCACTTGATTATGAGATGCAGAGTCCATTTATCGAAACACTCATACAAAAAACTGTGAGTTATGAAAGGGATTATGAGATGTACAGATATGAGCAAGATGCGGTACGAGTTACATGTCAAAATCATGGAATTAAAGAGTAAAAAAGTGCTAACAAACAAGAACTCTGGGGGGACACTTCAAAACTCAATATATCATACTCTCCTTGTCTTATATTGATAGTCTTATTTTTTTTTTCACCCATCTTAAATTATAATTCATTTTCTAATTAAAAAAATATGATTAATTTTTAACATCTCTAAAGTATCTTTATTTAACATACTTTTATTGTCCGTGAATATAAACTATTTAATTTAATACAGTAATTGCTTTGATTCATATCTTAAATGGTGTAATTTTTCATCAGTATTGTTGTTATAATTAATGTAAACGTACAATGATCTAATGAATGTAAAATGCATAATGATTGGTCGTACTTCTAAATATTAATGTAACTGAATCTTAGAAAAATAACAGGCTAAATTTATTTTTTCAACAAAGTTAATTAATTTTTTTAAAACTATATTAAAAAATCAAGAAATTGTCAATCACCCATCAAGAAATTTGATACTAGGTGAGCAATAAATCAATCCAAACAGAGCCTTTAGTGATTCATTTCTGTTAAATTGGAAGCTCTCTTAAGCCATAAAAGTCCACGGGTGTACCTAATTTTGAAACTGGAACTACTCCCTTTTTAACTCATTGACTGAAAAATTAAGATAGAACACAATAGTGTGAGGCTAAGTTTGATGGGTTGTAATAATATCATGATTCATACATTGAAAGTGATCCATTAATAGGAATAAAAGCTAAGGGGAAATTGTAGATGTGCTGTTTACTACTGCAAAATGCAAATGATTTGAGGTTGGACCCCTCACTCTCCCGCCACTCACGGCCCCAATTAATCAACGACCAAGCGTGGGTCCTCACGCTGAACAGCCAATGAGAGGCAGCCACGTGTGAGATCACTTCAAAACCAGAATTCTTGCCGCGCAGCATCTTCCTCCGTCCGGCTACCGGACTTGAGCCGCTTTCAGTTCAGAAGTCAGAATACCACCAACCGGCCGCTACTGTGTGTGTCCGACTCAAGGAGACACCCCTTTGCCTTTACTAGCCGACAGGCTGACTCCGAATCCGCTTCTCAAAATGGTCTTGAAACTGCTCCAAAACCAGGCTTTCTTGGCCCTTCCTTTCTCCTTCGCAACCCTCCCAGTGCAAGAAACTTTAGGAGAACCCGGTTCAGGCGCGTCTACGGACGCCTTTCCTCCCGGTTCAGACAAGCTTCTGAACAGGCGAGCATTTCCGGCCTTGTTTTGCCGGATATTCCTGTCGGCTGAGCCTGATTTCGGAGTCATTGGAAAGCCAATCAGTGAAGCTTTACTTTTCTGATTCACAGATGGAGAAAACCGGCGAGAAAATGATTGGGAATGGTGGTTTGAGGGCCCGACAGAACTAAGCTTCATCGAGCTCTTGCGTTGCATTACTGCGCGGTGATCAACCCAATCTTTTTCCTGGCCATTCGGCACCCAAAACGACTCCGGTGGGAGCTCGTAAAACATTTCTCCGGACACCAATTCATCTTCAATGCTGTAAAAAAGGTTCCGGAGTTGGGATGATCCTGAACTTGAAGACATGTTCGAATTAAAAGTAGTATACAGAGAGAAAAGAGAAGAGTTGGGGAACTTAAATTAGATATGTAGGATTAGGAGGGGGCTGGGAATATGAGCTGTGCTTTTCTTTATTTCCTCGAGGCTCGACACAACGACATGCCGACAGGGGTCTATGTTTCATTCAAATGACATGCAAAACTCAATAATGACTCGAGTTTGAGAACCCAGAAAGTGGAGAGGTTCTGTGTTCCAATGCCTCATTCCTTGCTTCTTAAAAGTTAAATGCCCCCTGCTCTGTTATTATTCTTTCTTTTTTTTTTTGAAAAAAAAAAAAAAAAAAAAAGGACATGCAAGCTCATTGTGGCAGAGGGATTGGAAATTAGTCAAATGTTTTGGTAAGGAACGAGGACCAAATGCGGAATCCATAATTGGATTGATTTACGCATAATTGTTGTCATCTCCTGTATTTAGCTGCCTTGTGTACAAAAATACAACGAAATTATATGAAATAAACACGGTACAAGATTAGTTAACAGAATTATTATATTACCCTTTCAAAGTTTGACAGTTGAAAGATCCTCTTTTTTTTTTTTCCCTCTCTTCCAAGCACTGGACGGAGGTTACCATATAGTAAATGTGTAGAGCCAAATATGGTATGGCATAATTGTAGAGACTTTTAGGCCACTTCCTGGCTACTGGATTCCTCGAGAGTCCTTCGGGAACTACGGACCCTCTGCTATCCATGGCAGAAGAGAGCCGTCTATTGATTGATGAAATCAATTTTGTTTGCTTTATTTTATTTTTTGTGGTAGGGCAAAATAAATGAAGTAAAAGTCGGATGTGAATAACCATAGGTAAGATCAGCTTGAGGACGTATAAGAAATTTTTGGCACCAGAGATCAGTTTCTAAAGCTACTGGTTCATATCCTTTGGATCACATTACTAAGGGTCATTGAAAATTTTAATGTACTTGTGTTAAAAAAAAAAATCACTCTTCTGCCAAAAGAATTATACAAAAATTGACTAATTGGTAAGACAAGAAGCTACATACACTGCACAAAGACATAAAATGAAACAAATTAGTCATGATTTTAAATTTACGATTGCAAATTTAAAAATAAAAAGGGTTTTTGTGTGTGTGTGTGTGTGTGTGTGTGGGGGGGTTGGGGGGGGGGGGGATTGAAGCTTTCAATGCGTCGGTTGTTCGTTTGAAGAGATTGGAATCAACTATGGGGATGAAAAAATGTTTCGGCACCGTGCTTTTGCTCTTTCTTCTATTTATTTCAAGTAAGAATCTCGATCTCTCTTTTTCATTCAAGAAAAATAAGAGATCCTCTGCTCGCCGAAATTTCATTTTTTTTTTAAATTTTGGTTAAGAAGATATACGGTTAATACTCTTCGAGTAACTGTAGCATAATTTGCTCATCTTTACTCATGTAAGTAGCTTTCTTAGGCCTCGCCCCCAAAAAAAAAAAAAAGAGTAGCTTTCTTTGGCCTTCAAAATATAAATATCTTTGATTTTCAAATCTCAATCAATTTTGTACAAATTTAGTATGCATATACCATATAGTTTTTTCGTACTGTGTATAAAAATGTAGATCACTCACTATTTGATTTGATAAATATATATCACAGACGACATCGTCATGGAAGCTGAAGCTGCTGTATGTTCCAAACCATCAACGTATTTTTTCGGTCCTTGTGTTCGTAGAAGCACTTGTAGGCGCGCTTGTTCTCATGAAAATTATTCAGATGGGAAATGCTCGAGATTTCTTGGCAAGTGCATTTGTTACAAGCCTTGTACAACTTGAATCATCGCAAATTTTGAGATGTCAAATCCAAATTTAATGAAGCATTGATATTGTAATTGTTATAACAAATGCAACAAAACAAGAGAACAATCAAGAACACTAGAACAATTTTGAAAAAAATTAAATTTTTATTAGGGTTTGGAACGAATCAGAATTGTTTACAAAATGAATATAAGGTCCAAAAATAGGTCCAAGCGGATTGGATCCAAAAATAGGTCCAAAACTAAGATCCAAAATAAAAACAGGCACGGTAACTAATATATACCGTAAGTTCAGCGAGACCCCCGAACAGCTCAGCGAAACGCAACATAGTCGAATCGCCATAAGTCGAGGACCTGATTCAAGGCATCCCAACAATAATTAATGCAAAATCCTATCAACTAAGAAGACATATCTTTTGCTTTAACCATTAATTTCACATATATTCTTTATTTGAAGTTTAATTAGTATTCACTTGTAAGGATGGCAATGGGGCGGGGTTGCCCTTCTCCTGTCCCTCGCCCCGCTGCCTACTAATTCCTTCTGCCCCCGCCCCCCCTCACTTTTCTCGCGGGATTAATAAAAATTTGTTATATAATTTTATTATAGTTAAATTTTAGCAAATAATTAAGTACTAAAATATCAATACATCACCAAGTTATTATTCACTGTAATTTCACAATTGAAACTCATAAAAACAATCAAACAAAAGTTATTTGAATACAATCCAACATAATGAAATAAATACAACTAAAGTAGTCAAATTTTCACTTTTGGCCCAAATACAGTCACTACTTTATTATTGTACTTGTGTTTTTTTTTTTTGAGAAAAAAGTATTATTGTATTAAGTGTAATTATGAATTTAGTATAATTGTATTAGTAAATTTTGTATAACTAATTAATAATTTCTATTTGTAGACATGTATAATCATTATTACAATTAATAATATCAATTATATTACATATACTAATATACATTATATAATACATATAACTAATAATATCATTATCATAAGTTTGTAACTAATTAAATTAAATATTATATATATAATTATATACATATTTATTTATTTATTTTTTAGCGGGTGACGTATACCCCCGTCCCTCGCCCCATTTCTAAACGGGGGGAATCCCCACCTCATCCCCTGCCACAACCCCCGCCTCATTAACCCCCCGGGGTGGATGCCCACAGCCATCCCCCCAATTGCCATCCTTATTCACTTGGACAATGTTTCGCCTGCTTGTAAATCCATGGAAAAACTAGTTGTTAAGTCTTCTGGTTTATATCCTTAGGTTCCGTTTGAATTGCTATTTTTTGAAATTTTTGTAAAAAAATGTATTGTAATAATTTGATATATGTGAAATAAAAATTGATTAAAAAATTTGTTTATGAAAAACATAAAAAATTTTTGGGGAAAAATGGCTTTCAAACAAGGCCTAAAGTTTACAATATTCTTTAACTGAAGATTGTGAAGGGATTTGAATAATTTATCATCAAGAAAAAATAAAGCTTGAAGCACGACGCATCCTCTTACTCGCCGGAGTCGGTGCAATCATATCAACATTAA